GCTTCAGCAGCTGGCATCACTATAAAGCTCCCATATGTGGGTGCATACCATGGCACAAGGAGAGCACATCTGCACAGGAGGGCAAAACCTCGACATGACATGGCAACCTAAAAATGAAGACAATAAAACAACACACGCAATATTGAAATAAACGCCCGGCGATTACAAGGCTGGCAGGGGGTCCGTTCAAGAGTTTCTGGCTGGATGTGAAGTGCGATAGACGGAGTGCATTCATACTCTTCTGGTGCTGGTTTGATCGTGGTCCATTTTGGGATTACCGTGCTGGCGGAATGACAAAGATCTGAGAGTACTAGGCTTTAAATAGATTGTTTAAAAGAACGCTTGATAGATTAAATAAAAGCACAACATCATGCAGTAGTACTGAGCAAGCTACTCATTAAAGCTATAGCAAATGATCAAAATCTATTAAATGAGTCCATGTTTTAAACTAATGGTGAATAGCTTCTATAAGCCTAATAGTTGCAGATATTTTGATTATTATAGATCAGTTGATTCCTGCTGTCTTTGGAGCAGATTATCAGTCCCTCCAGTTTTTAAGGGACATTTTTTCATATTTGTGGTCTAAAACAATTTGGTGATGGCTTTTAAAAAAAAAAACACATAACATTATTTTCTTACATTTTTTGTGTTTTGCTTTAAAAAAAACACAATATATTTTTGTTCTTTTTTGATCTCAAGAACATTGGACTTGCAAAATAGTATCTTATACTCAACAACTGCTAGTTAACGCAAATTTCTAATCAGCCTATCACATGGCAACAACTCAATGCATTTAAGCATTTAGACATGGTCAAGACTAACTGCTGCAAGTCAAACAGAGCACCAGAATGTGGAGGAAAGGTGATTTAAGTGACTTTGAATGTGGCATGGTTGTTGGTGCCAGACGGGCTGGTCTAAGTATTTCAGAAACTGCTGATCTACTGGGATTTTCAAGCATAACCATCTCTAGAGTTTACAGAGAATAGTCTGAAAAAGAAAAAATATTTAGTGAGCGGCAGTTCTGTGGGCGCAAATGCCTTGTTGATGCCAAAGGTCAGAGGAGAATGCCCAGACTGGTTCCAGCTGATAGAAAGGCAACGGTAACAGACATAACCACTCGTTACAATCAAGGTATTTAGAAGAGCATCTCTGAATGCACAACATGTCCAACCTTGAGGCAGATGAGCTACAGCAGCAGATGATCACACCGGGTGCCGCTCCTGTCAGCTAAGAATAGGAAACTGAGGCTACAATTGGCACAGGCTCACCATAATTGGGCAATAGATGATTGAAAAAACAGTGCCTGGTTTGATGAGTCTCGATTTCTGCTGCGACATTCTGATAGTAGGGACAAAATAGTACCTTGTTGAATCTATGCCAGTTCTGAAGGCAAAAGGTGGTCTAGTAAGGTGCACCTAATAAAGTGGCCGGTGAGTGTGTATATACGTATATACAGAAGTACCACTAGTTACAATGTTGTTCTACAAGAAGCATGTTTTGTTTATTTTAAAATATGAGGTAAGTCTGTTTTCATGTGTTGTTTATAAACAAAATGTGGATTCATCCATCCAACCATCAATGTCTCTTAAAAAATCGTAATATTAAGCTAATTTTGTCACACTGCTGGCACAACTTTGTTTTCATTTTGCACAAATTGCAATAGTTCCATTCAAAAGAAATTCAATAGAGAAATCTGTCAATTTCTGCATCATGCAGGCAGACAGACAGACAGACAGACAGCAAGGCTTTAGGCTATGGTAAGCTATAATATAAAAAGTATCCATATAAAGTGGTGTTAAGCTTGGTTTGCTGTTGGTGATGCCCACTATTCAGACCAAGCCTGCCGGAATATTGAGCAAAACAGCAATCTGCATTTCATTCCCAGTGCTAAATAGAACAGCAGCACATACTCATTTCCAACCTTTCTGTATGAGGCAGGGACTAAATCTTCTGTAGCCTTTAAGCTAGTACATAAATCAATCAGCATCGCTACTTTCATAGACCATTTTCATTACTGTATTTCTGTCACACACACTCCCAAACACACCCTTTCCCTGTAAATCTCCAGGGCAATTAGAATGACGGGTCCTAGCCAAAATAGAGAGGTGTAATCAAGTACACAAATCAACTGACCACACATGATCAGGTACAAACGTGTTAGCCAGCAGAATGCACGGCAGCGTGAAATTCAATATACCTTTCCATGCAAAAGAAGTGAAAAAACTCCCCCTTCCCCTCTCCAACGGACTCTGCTGTCAAAACGCTTAGCTTTGATTGACAGCCAGAGTGGAGTGAGTCAGCCAGTCAGGCGTGTTGTGTGAGTGAATTGGGCGGGAGTGTGAAGTTGAACCCCAAGAGTCTGGGACAGCTGCAGTGTCGCTGTGGTCTGTGGCTGTTGCACACCATAAATTCTCTCTAAAGAGGGTTTACTTTTTATTTTAATGGGAGCTGTAAATTTACAACCCTTGGACCCTGGAGATAGAGCCGCTTTTAAAGGAGCACTCCCTGTCTTTTTTGTTTCTCTTTCTCATACCCGTTTCTGTAGGAACTTTCTGGCTTATTTGTACCTGGCTGTATGTGGGAGCTTCTTAGTGCTGGATAAAATGAGATCACAATACTTCAAAATAATTTCGAGACAGGCAACTAAACAAAATATTGTAAGTTAGGCTACTAAATATTCTATACATGCTGCAGTATATTCACGCATATGAAATTAATTTGAATACATTATTAAGAAATAACAACTTATTATGGTGACATGGTGGCTCAGTGGTTAGCACTGTCACCTCACAGCAAGAAGGTTTCTGGTTCAAGTCCAGGCTGGGTCAGTTAGCGTTTGTGTGTGGAGTTTGCATGTTCTCCCCATGTTAGTGTGGGTTTCCTACGGGTGCTCTAGTTTCCACCACAGTCCAAAGACATGCGGTATAGGTAAATTGAGTAAGCTAAATTGGTTGTAGTGTATGCGTGTGAATAAGTTTTAATAGATGCTTCCCAGAACTGGGTTGCAGCTGAAAGGGTATCTTCTGTGTGAAAGCATATGCTGAATAATTTAGTGTTTTATTCCGCTGTGGCGACCCCTGAAGAATAAAGGGACTAAGCCAAAGGAAAATGAATGAATAAATAACTTATTACAACAAACTTATTACAACAATAACTTAAAAGAATTGTTCACCCACTAAAATGTTATCATTTAGTCACCTCTTACTTGTTCCAAACCTGATTGATTTTCACCTTTTTTTGTTGAACATTAGAGATATTTTGAATACAGCTGGAAACATGTAAACCCATTCACTTTAAGAGTATTTGTTATTCATGTGGAAGTAAATATTTGTTTTAGCTTCCCTCAAAATATCTGCTTTTGTGTTCAAAAGAAGAAATGACACTTTTTATATATTTAATTTCAGTTCTTCTAAACTAAAAGGACACCGCATAGCACATGAAAGACTAAAGCAGTTTTATAAGTTAACTTTCACAATTTGTATGTTCTAGTTCATATAGCCTAGTTTATATTGTGCAATTTAAAGTTATATGCTCACAAATGCCTGTTGACATTTTACAGTTTTATTGTTCTCATACTGAAATTGGGACTTTGTATCAGCCAATACATACTTTTTTACAAAAAATTGAGTTGTGAGATATGAAATAAGAAATGTAAAAAGAAAACCCAGAAATATGAGAAAGGACAAAATCTAAAGATATAAACAAATAAACTCAAAGTGCTGTAAAAAAGAATTGCATGTTGATAATCTCTCACTGAATTTAATCTCAAAATAATAGTTATATAAAAATAATAGTTTATATATATCAAAAATTTCCTTATAAAACCAAGATTTCAATAGAATAATAATTGTGAGATTAAGGAAATTAATTTTCCATCGGGTTAGTCCCTTATTTATTAGGGGTCGCCACAGCGGAATTTAACCGCCAACTATTCCACGATAAGTTTTATGCAGAAAATACCCTTTCAGCCACAACCCAGTAAAGGGAAACACCAATACACACTCTCCAGGGTTTCTGCTGGTTTCACCAAGTTAAATTCAAGACTTTTAAAGACATTATTAGGACCCCTATGAACAAAATTTTAGACTCATACAGGGCTAAACACAAAGAAGATTTTCGAATGGCCCAGATGGAAAATATTTTTATTTGCCCAATCAAAAATGTATTATAATTTAATATTTTCAATAATACAATAATAAATTTCCATTTATTAATACAATAATATTTTAATGATAAAAAAATCTTAGCAAAATATTTTAAATATTGTGTCAAAACAAGCAAGCTCTAGTTGTAAATACATCCTTTTTTCAACATAAGCTTTCTTTAAAAAATAAATAAACAAATAAGTATATATATATATATATATATATATATATGTTTTTTTTTTTTTTTTTTAATATATCTTTCAGTAAATGCATGGGGAACTTTTAAAAATCTCATTCACACACACTCATACACTATGGCCAATTTAGTTCATACAATTCACCTCTACATGTCTATGAACACCCGGAGGAAACCCACGCGATCATGCAAACTCCACACAGAAATGCCAACTGAACCAGCCGGGACTCAAACCAGCAACCCTCTTGCAGTGAGGCGACAGTGCAAATCACTGAGTCACAATGCCGCCTTAAGGAAATCATAACCAACTTTATTTTATTTTTTTTATCCATAGCAAAAACAGCCATCTACTGTATGCTGTAGCTCTCTCTTTGTTAGCAGCAATGTGAACAAATATGTAAAAAAAAAAATTTGGAATAAAAAATAATATTTCGGCCATTTAGAAATAAAATCCCATCACTTAATTGTGCATTTTACAGTACGCAGATGTAATATCTTGGCACCTTTAAAAGAAAAAAACTGACTATTATTTTTAGTGCGCGTTTGTGAGCACTATCCAATGTGACATCATATTATGTGTTTGGGAGTGACTTAACTTGTGTATTTAATGTGTTGAAAATGACAAAAAAAAAAAACTCTTTCTCTCTCTCTCTCTGCAGGTGTTGTTTGCCCTGAACCAGACTCTACTGCAGCATGAGAGTTTGCGTGCAGGCATTCTGCAGGGCACCTTTACTACAGAGGACCTCATTGCACACTACAATTGTGGAGACCTCAACTCCATCATCTTCAATCATGACACATCCCAGGTACACACACGAAAACAGTACATTGTAGCAGTATGTGTATACTTGTGTAACTGTGCATGTGTGTGATGTATTGCAGTCATTATGAGCTTAAAGTTTGAGCTGCAGCAGGTTCAGTCTGATGGATAGCCTATAATTCTCCACTTCACCCTGCAACACGCTTTGAGATTAAAGCAACACCAAACACACATAGCGAGAGAGAGAATGAACATTTTAGGAAATATGTGAGGGAGAAGCACGAGGAAAGAAGGGAGGAAATTTCTTTCTGTTGTTCCATATTTCCTGCACAGGTCAGAGGCAGGTCAGCTAATGGCTCTCCTGTCTGATAAGGGATCTGTGCTCTCTCTCTCTTTCTCTGCTGTCTGTTTATATACCCCTTGCTGTAATTATGTAGTGCATGACTTAGAGCCAGAGCCGAGTATTCTACTTAATGTTGCTTTCATGTCCTCCTGAGACGTTAATTCTTAAGGCCTGTTCACACCGGGATGCTTATTGCTCGTGTTTTTCGTCAACGTTTAACGCCTCATGACTAAATAAAGGGTGTCTATGTGATTGTGCACACCAACGCCCAATACGGCAGGCGTAAAAGCGGAATTTTCTAAGAAACGCCTCATGCTTGTTTTTTCGTTTAGAATTTTTCTTTTTGTCTTCTTCTATGATTCAAGCGGGGTCAGAAGCTTAAAGTTGTGTAGTGCCACCCTGTGCACCGGAGTCTTGCTGTTTTTCATTGAGCGCCATCTAACGTCAAGGACTGATTTTGCATACTTTTCTGCTTGATGCCAGTGTATTCGCTAGGGTTTGAATGCAAAACAATGTCTCGAAAAATGCTGATGATAAACGCAAATGAAAAGCGTCCCTGTGTGTACGAGCCTTTACACTATAAAAAAATATTCATATAATAAACTGTGATATTTTTTCTGCTTATTTGCATTTATAAATTGCATTATGGGACTTTTATCTATGCTCTGTGAACTTTTCAAGCTGAAATTTCAACTCTGTAGTTTAACAAAGGCAGGTACTTATTGACGTTTTAGAAATTAAACAACAGAAGATATAAAATAACAGAAACAAAAGTACTGGTTCATTAGCAGGTTCTTGTTTCGCAATTCACAACACTAAGACAGACAAAAATTGACTTCAAACTAGTAAAAATGTCAATAAATGGCACTTTTTCAAAATGTCCTACATCAAAACTTTTTGAAGAAAAGATCAAGGTCCCATAATGCATTTCATTAATAAAATCATATTCATGGCTCATGGTTAGCACATTTGCCTCACGGCAAGAAAGTTGCTGGTTCAAGTCCCGGCTGAGTCAGTTGGCACTTCCGTACATCGGTTTCCCCCACAGTAAATGACATGCAGTAGGTGAATTGAATAAACTAAATTGGCCATAGTATTTGTGTGTGAATTAGGGCTGTGCAAATAAATATCTAATTGCTATTTTTTAAAAAGATTTTGCGATTTCGATTTGATTTGCGATTTCATTTTGTAGTCAAGCTTCATCTCCATTTTTTGATTCTTACCACTAAAATGTTAGTTTAAAAAGAAACTAAAAAGATATTAAATTACTCCAATATTTATTCAAATTTATTTATAAATATTCAGAAATTATTTACAAATTTTTCTGTAGAGCAAACAGTATTGAGTTATGGCGTTAGTTAATTTCCTGGGGCCTTCGTGATGTTTTTCATATGGTGTAACAGCTGCAAACAACTCTGAAATGTTACTTTGCTGTTGCTAGCTACTATATTGAGTCACACAGCCAATAGTTGACTCTTTAGCAAGACACTCCTCGTCTGGCTGCCTGTGGTGCTTTATTAAGTGCGGGTTGTTGTGTTTCCAAGTGCTGTGGCAACAATTTTGAGACAGCTCCCACGTGCTGTTTTCTTTGATATTTATTCATCTGTTATTGCTTCTCAAGTGGCAGACGCCATCCTCCTACTTGTCCGGCTTTCCTGTTTGTTTGTTTTATTGTGGGCATTTCGAATAGTTTGGTTGCGCAATTTTTATTGGGCAGAACGAAAGTGTGCTCACTCAATTGGCAAGTAAGACCGTCTGACACAGACCACAGTCATGCATTTGCTCTGAGTGGGGCAAATTATATATTCTGTATTTCATATCACAGGCTCTTGCGATTAGCTAATCGCAATGTTTGAAATTGCGATTGTGATTCGATTTCTATTAATCGCACAGCCCTACTGTGAATGAGTGTGTATGGATGTTTCCCAGTACTGGGTTGCAGCTGGAAGGACATCCGTTGTGTAAAACATATGCTGAATAATTTCATTTCACTGTGGTGACCCCTGAAGAATAAAGGGACTAAGCGGAAAGAAAATAATTGAGTTAATTTAGCTGACAAAGTCATAATAGCAATGTCAGGAGCATTCTAGTCACTTTGGTAAGCACAAGACAGTGTTGTACCTACAATAAAAAAAAGCAAGGTTGGTTAACTTTGCTTAAAAAAAATGAAGATCAAAGAATTCACAATAATTGTGACAACCAAATAGCCATGAATTCTGCCCACTGATCTACATATATTAAGATATATAAATGGTATCTCTCTAATATAAAACAGTGATTCCAACATGTTTGCACTGACAGGCCCTGACTTGGAAAGTCAAGACTTTAAGAATTGGTGGTAGCGTTCATGAGCATTCAACTTGTAAATACGATTTTTATCTGACATGACTTTAACGCACCTTCTTTTTATTATGAACAGCAAACCAAACCAATGTGATCTCACCAATGTGAACACATAACTATTTATGTTTTGCTGAATTGGTGGCTAATTTGTAGGAATTCATTAGATTACATTTGATTTAAAATGTTAGATTTCTGAAAAAAAAAAAATAAGTTAAAACGCAAGCATAAAGGCCCATAAATGGCTTGAGACTTTCTTGGCCAAACCACTTTCAAGTAACATATAAACTAAACATACTAAATGGCTGCCTGGCATCCCCTTTTGATATAGTCCAAGCGTATGCAAGCTCTTTTAGTGCAAGAATAATTCAGCCTTGGTGTTACAGAGAAAGAAACAAGAAGTAATTTTACCAACAGTGATCAGACTGAATAACCAAAGTCATACTAGATGAATTAGGCTGATTGTAATAGCATTAGATATGGACAAGTGTCTACTCATTGTTTGAAACTAAGGTGTGCAGTATTAATGTAATTTTATTACTATTGTTTTATATTTATGTAATTTATTTGATCTATCTTCAGTATTGAGTTCTCTGCTGTGACGTGAATTTCCCTTTAGGAGTAATAAAATCTAACAAACAAACAAATAAATAAACAAACAAACAAACAAAGAGCGAAAAGTTGACTTTACTTACAAAAGTGAGTATACCAATAATACTTAATTTTAAAGCAATAGGTTGACAAATTAACTAGTTACTTTTAAAGCAGCAGATATACTCACTTTTTAAAGTAATGTCAAAAAATCACTTGTTACTGTGCAGTAATTAAACATTTTAATATTTTGATTCAGTAATTACAACATTTTGTAAAAAATTAAAAAGGAAGCTATTACTAAAAACAGCAATAGTTTTTTTTTCAAAGGTTTATATCTTTTCTTCAATTATACACCATAAAGAATGCTGGATTCCACACAATTCCTTCATGTTGTCCCGAAAAAAAAAAATTATTAACTCAATTGTTTTTACAAATTTAATTGGATTGAATATAAAATAATTAAGTTGTCCAAAAAACAACTCATGAACTGTGGTGTTTCAGCTCATTTTAAATAAGCAGTTTGAACAAGCAGAAACAAAATATTTTTTTTAATGGATGTGACTTTTTGTAATTAACTTTTCCTAAAAAGCTAACATTGGATCTCAGTTTTAACTGTCCATCCCTCCGCTGACCCCGTTCAGATATCTAGCACACTGAAGTTTCTCTATATACTGTGCATTATTGCAGTGGAGGAGGACAGAGAGAGGGTGTAAGAGGGCATTACTGGAAAAGCCTTCTGTAAAAGTGGTTTGGATGCTTACAGGGGTGCAGCAGTTCATCTATCAGTGTCTGAACACACACATCCAGTGGAGCCAAACGTATGGCTTTCTGCTCTGCTGCACTTCAGCGCCTTAGTGCAGGAATCTCTCAGATAAACACACATGCACGGCCCTATTTACCCCCACTGCCTCCACATTTCCAAACTGTTCTCTCATTAGAGGCGTATGGATAAATACACACACACACATACATAGTATTTAGACGTTCCAGAGCTCTGGATTCTAACAAGAGGCCACCTCATGGTTTCCCTTTTAAGTCTCTCTCACTTCCTCCGTCCTTGTACCATTATCCATTATAATCTCTGGTGTATGTATAGCCAGTCAAGACATGGGAAGCTCTGTGTTTCCGACCATCAATTATAGCCAAAGGTCCAGAATTGAGGTCCATAACCATATATATTTCCCTAATGCCCTGCTCTCTTCCAAAGATCTGTACACTCTTTTCTAATTCTAAAGATGGATTACAAACATAAGGATGCCAGTGTAAAAAATAAACAGGTTATTATGAGTTTGTGTATGTCATATTATCTCTCTGTTATGCAACTTCTTATAATGCAACATCAGTTATTGTAATTGCAACCTTACATCTTTCAATTGCAACTTTCCATACAATGTATAACAGCAAGAGCAACTATTTTCAATCGTCTTACAATTTTCTAGTTCAACTGTTTACTACACAAAGGTCTTCACACGCTGAGGACCTGTTCATACTAGTACGTTTCAGTTTTAAAACGCATACTTTTGGCTACAATTAAGCCTTCTGTCAATAATATCCCAAAGTTTTTGAGCGCCGAAAATGGGGTATTTTGGAAACGCTGAAGAGGCCGTTTTAATTTTTAGATGCTGCTGCTCTGTGTCAGTGTGGATGGGAGAAAATGGAGACATCTGAAATTGGAGGCATGGCTGCCGACGTTTGCTGCCGACATCTAATTGGGGCTTTTACTCAATATTAAATGCACAAAGTTCACACTCCTGAGGACACGACGGGTAAATCTTTAAAGGGAAGAGTGTGGGCTACTTCATAACGTCGTTCACAGTGCTCTGGTTATGTTGTTTCACTTTCTTAACAATAAAATGAAAACATGAAATAAGAAACTGTCTTTTTTCATTTTGATATTAACTTAACAGACACTAAAATGTTGAGGCATCATGTAGCTACATATTTATATGACTGTCATTTTCACTGTATGCATTTTTATAACAAAACCGGGCCTATAAAATAACTGCCTCCTTTCATTTTCATTGAAATACATGAAATTCATTGCTGAATATCGTTTTTAATAATCAAAAATGGCCATTATAAAAGTATAACGACGAATAAGTTTATACAATATAGGAAATAAAGGCAAGCAATCAGTAAATATGCAGAATCACTGTATGTGCTCACATAAAATAACATATTAACTTATATTTGCGCTCTGCCAAATCGTGTTACGTGAGAACAAGTAATAGATTCAAAATACCAAAGAGTCGTTAGAGACAAGATTAATTAAATATCAACTTTAACAACTATAGTGAGATGAATTCCAGCAGAAGATCTTTGGTGAAGTGTCCGAGCTGCACTGCTCTCATCTGAGGAGATGCCCACATAGCACTCGCTGACTGCCTAAAGCTTGCATTCACTGCAGCGCTTGCCAGAGTGTATATGTGGTCATGTGATGTGCGTTTTTAGCGATCTAATGTGAACAAAGAGCTGTTCAGAAATGTTATAGATGAAACGCCAGTGTGGACGTAGATCGTTTTCATTCTAATACACCGTTTTAAAACTAAAACTTATTAGTGTAAACGGGGCCTAAAAAAGCACCCTAAATTTGCACTTCAGTTTTTTTATTTTTTATTACCAGTGTTGGGGAAAGTTACTTTAGAGTAATGCATTACAATATTGAGTTACTCCCATCAAAAAGTAAGTAATTGCTCAACATCTTTATATTTTTATGAAAAGTAATGCATTATATAACATTTGAGTTTTGATCTCTTTGCAGGTCTTTTTTCACCTTTTTTTATTGAGAAGCTCTGCATTTAACAACCACCTATATAACCCCCACCTTCATTTTTCTTAAAAAATGTGGGATAATATTACATTTTGAGAACTTTCTGAGCCCAGAGCTATACATGCTCTATATACAGATTAATGAAAGCATCTAAAGTAATGTGTTTGCTGCTTTTGTACGTTTTGTGTTATTAGTTAAGTAAATTAGCTGTTTATTGAAATAAAAAATTTAAATAATTTATATTAAGGCAAAAAAGATTTTAAACAATTAATATGTTTAATTACAAAATGAACAGCAAGACAATTGAAAAAAAAAAACAATTAAAAAAGTGGCTGCATCTTTTGCGTTTTCTGAGTTTAGTCGAATTAATTGTTTTACCTGGAGAACATGAACTGATGTCAGTCATTTGTTGTTTAGCTGGAGGTATTCGATGTCACGTTTCTTGCAGTTGACAAAAGTTTTACTTACACATAATGTACACCTAACAACATTTCTTTACTTCGTTAAGTTCAAAATAACAAAAATCCATTGCAAAAATGTAAGTCTGCTGCTATTGTGTGATTCAACGAAAGCAATTTTTATTTTGCAAAACATTTAGTAAAAGCCAATTAAGCACGGTAAAAAGTCAATAAATGCGTTACTACAAAACCTCAAAACTAATGGCTTGTTAGATTTTGTTGCTTAAAACTAGTCATCAAGGCAGTTTATGGGAAGTTTGGGAACTAAAACATTCACTGTCTTTCTTCAGTCATCCCTTAATTTTTCCCTTCTTCGTCCTCTTTGATGTTTTTTTGAAGTTGAGTTTTTTTCCCCCTTCCATCTATTCTGTCCATTCCTTCATAGCAGACTGTAGACAGACCCGGCCAGCTGTAGAAATCTTCCCATACACTTTACCCTGCAGCAAATCAATCAGTGCATGCAGAGTCCAAGACAGTAAAACAGCATTCTGTAAGTGTGTGTGTGACTGTCACGTTCCACAAAGTGGCACAAAAGTGTCAGCTGCCCAGTTTCACACACACACACACACACACACACACTGAGATTCATGCCAGGATTTTACTAACACCTCTTTCTCTTTCTTTCTCTCTTAGCTTCCGCATTTCATCAACAGTTCTCTGCCAGATCATGAGCGCTTGACGGCGCAGCAGATCGACAGTTACCTGCGGCAGGAGCTCATTTACAAACGCAATGAACGAATGGCCCGCCGCGTCTCCGCCCTCCTTCAGAGAAACCCCAACCAGAGCTTCTTTTTCGCTTTTGGAGCTGGTGAGTCATACAAAACATATCAAGCACACACACACACTCCCAACAGCATGAAGATGAGGTCAGTGGACATTAACCCGGAATAGGTCCAGCTACAAAACAAACACACACACACACACACACACACACAGCCACAAATGGCAATAAAACCAAATGGTCCTCAGAACTTTTCCCTCATCACTTTCATTCCTGTGTGCACCTGTGTTTGACATATGCATACATAACAAATAGGACTTTAAAATAATTAATAATTGATTATGAATCATCACAATCATGCATTTTTCTTTTCCATAAAGGAATAGTTCAGCCAAAAAAAGACATAATTTATCTTTTTCTCGTGTGGTCTTAAACCTTTTTCTAGAAACCAAGTTTCTTTCTTCTGTTGAATACAAACGAAGATATTTTGAAGAATACTGGTTGCTGAGACCCATTGCCTTTCATAGTAAACAAAAACAAAATAGCAAAGAAAATAGTAAAAACGAAATAATTACCATAGAATTTAATAGGTTCCAGCAAGTAGCATTTCCAAAATATCTTCTTTTGTGTTCAACAGAAGAAAGAAACACAAATAGGTTGAGCAAGTGAAGGGTACATAAATGATGACTGATTTTCTTTTTCTTTTAGGGTGAACTATCCCTGTTTGAAGCTCAAAACTTCAAGCATCCATTGTGTAACTATAGAGTCTCATTATATTCATTAGACAGGTTTTATTTTTAATTATACATACATACATATACACTCACCCGCCACTTTATTTGGTACACGTGTGCAACTGCTTGTTAATGCAAATATATAATTAGCCAATCAGATAGCAGCAACTAAATGCATTTACAGTATGTATTTAGACCTCCTGAGGTTCAAACTCAGCATCAGAATAGAAATGGACGTGGCCTGACTGGTGGTGGCAGATGGACTGGTCTGAATATTTTAGAAGCTTTGATCTACTGGAAATTTCACACAGAACCATCTCTACAGTTTACAGAAAACAGAAACAAAAATATGCGTGGCAGTATTGTGAGGGAAAATGCCTCACTGGTGCCAGAGGTCAGATAGGAATGACCCGACAAGGTTTGCAGTAGTAAAAATGTCAAATCTTGAAGGATCATCAGCTAAAACAGGTAAATTAAGGCAATGACTAGAAAAAATAAGACAAGAAACAGGAAATTGGAAAGTGATGCTTGGTTTGATGAGTCTTGATTTCTGCTGAAAAGTTTTATTGCTATGGTCAAAATTTGGCAAAACCAACATGAAAATAAAAATCCATCTAACGGTGTATAAATGGTTCACGCTGATGGTGTAAAGTGGTGTGGGGGCATTTTCTTAGGCTTCTTAGTACCATCTAAGCATCACTTAAACATCCCTGCCTACCAGAGTCATTCATTAGACCCTAATGGCAGTATGTGCACACACCTGTTCTGAATCTACTGAAGGTTTTGTGCAATAACCTTTAAAACACAAGTGACTAACAATAATTGAATGAGATCCAGTGAGAGCACTGACAGCTAATCTCATCTGTAAGAGTGTGAGTTGCTTGTTTTAATTTGCATTCCAAGCTAATACTGGTAATGTTTGCTGATTACTGCATCGAGTCCTGAGGGTGTGTGTATGAGCGCATTTTTATGCATGCCGTTCATTAGCACTGATGGGGTGAATTTGAGGTTTTCTGGACAAGAGTGTGAGAACCTGGTGTCAGTTTCTATGTTAAAGGGCACCTATGGTGAAAAATCTACTTTTCAAGCTGTTTGGACAGAAATATTTGTAGGTATAGTGCATAGGCGGTCATATTGGGTTGATATAAACACACTGAGTTTTTTTCTTCAATTTAACAACATAGAAACAGTGGACCAATTGAAGAGTTTTCAGACTGACAGCAACTTGACGTAGAGGTGAGGTGCCCCTGCCCACCGAATTGATTGACAGCTGCGTAACATGTCCCGGTAGTCACGTGTATGATCAGATCAACAAGAGAAGAGAAGCGCAATGCAACTGGGAATAAAACGTCTGTTCAGTTTGCTAGGATCATCAATCGTCATCAAATGTGATCAAGAGTGAGTTTCAAAAGTTCAAAATGTTTTAAAACAGTGCAAGTGTGTAATGAATTACAGCGATTTACTTCAGAATTACTTCATCAGCACAGCCGCGTGTCAGAATTATGAAAGAAGACGCTTCAATCCCACTTTGTGGACGTTGTATCAGATTTATTTTGTATATTAACATAACAGATATCCATACAGCAGTGAAGATTAGCCTGTATACAGCCATATATGCGTGCAAAAAGAGTGCAAAGCTAAACACGTTGTCTGTATGTATGTGCGTATCGTGTCCGTGCTGGGTATGTGTGTCTTTGTGTGTGCGCGTGAACTTTGTAACGACATTGTGTGTGACTCATCGTTGTAACTTAACACAGTAAATGCATCAAATAATCATAGGGTAAAGTTCTAACTGTAGTGTTTCTCACAAACGCTACGCGAGATCTGCTTCCTTTATGTCTGTATGTTGTCTGACGAAGCAGAGGGAGGAGATTAAGGCACGCAGAAAGGGTGGGCCAGGAGGACTAACCTTAAAGGCGCAGAACAGCAAAACCGCCACCCAGTGCAAAAATGTAAAAAACAGAATCTTATAAAAGGTATAATAAAAATCTGATGGGTGTTTTAAGCTGAAACTTTACAGACACATTCTGGAGACAAAAATGATTCATAATAAATCTGAAAAAAGGGGTAACCTAGGTGCCCTTTAATGGAGCAGAAGGTAACATGATGTTTTCTTGTATTTGTACATTGACGTGTATTACCTAGGTGTTATTTTGTTAAGATGGTTTATGAGGACATTCCAAATGTCCTTGTAGTTGGAAACCCTTAAAAATCATATTTCAGAAGGTCTGTTGCCTTTCAAAATTTGCCATAGGTTTCCTGTGAGGGTTGGGATTAGAGGTGGGGCCATATAAAAAGTGTTTTTCTGCAGCATAAAATGCATTATGCCGTCCTCATAAACCCCATATACAAGTGTGTGTGTGTGTGCATGCATGTATGTATGCGACAAAAATACAGCTTCTACTAATAGATGGCAGAGTCATTAATAATTGGATGACTGGAGTTAGATGGCCTGTCAACCGTGTGCTAGGCCTCTTTCTAGGTGTGCTTTTGGGGATGATTTCACTCAGAACCTCTTCGGAACAACTGACAGAAAGCAAAATTAGCAGCAGACCTGGACTCAGAGGGCTCTACAGTTTCCAGAGTGCTCCACAATTCCTTTCAGAGTTGATTAAAATACATGCTGTGCCGGTAAAGTGGTTTGAACAGGCCATCCATCTTTGCTCCATGGCAAACCTGCCACCCATGCTTTTTAAACTTTCCAATAGCATGTTCAGATTCAACAGGAAGTCTCATGGCACAGGCTACAAGGCTCTTTTGGGAAATCACACGCATATGCAGTCACACACACCCCCAACCCCGACTCTCATAATACATAATGTATAGCTGGAAAGAAAGCACAATCTGTGGAAACCGAATGCCTAGCTATTAAAGGGATAGTTTACCCAAAGAAAAAATAAATTCTGTCATTATGCCTGTCATTTACATCATCATGTTGTACCAAACCTGTATGACTTTCTTCTGTGGTACACAATAGCAGAAACCAGAGAATGTACTGGTTATTATTATTCTTTTTTCTTTCATTGCAATTATAAAAGTACGGACTGGTGCAGAAATAAATTATTGTGAACACACCAAACCAGCTTTTCTAAAAATGTTCCTAAAAGAAGTCCAGACGACAATGACAATATATAATTATAACACACACACACACACGCACACATGCACGCACGCACCCACGCACACACGCATGCACGCACACACACACAATTGCAAAACTGTGAAATGTTATTGCACTATAAAATAACTGTTCATTCATGAATGTATCATTTATCTGAACTGAATATGCTCAATAAATCAACTGACACATAATTTATAAAACTACATGATTTGTTATTGAGTAGAACTCAGTTCCGTTCCAATCCCTGACACTGATTGCTAGCACACTGGAGGCAAAGATCATCAGTAAGTAAGGACTTTAATGATAGTTGTATAGCTCTTTTGTGTCCTTTTTAACAATGAAAAGCTAGTCATTATTAATTGTAACTGCACCAAAAAAAGAGATTATTCTTAAAGTGTAACAGAAACAACAACCTGGAGAGTAAAACTGTACGAAAATTATGGTTTGATGTGTTCCTTGCATTTGAAATTACAGTTTGATGCATTTTGACCAGACATTTTAGTATTGTAAAACTAATCAAACATTTTGCAAATCATCTTGCAGCCCAAGACCAGTAACTCACTGAGGCTAAGCAGGGCTGAGCCTGGTCAGTACTCGGATGGAGGACCACATAGGAAAACTACCTGTGGTTTGTGTGAGTCGTAATGTCCCAGTAAAAAGTGAAAGGGACACTATACTGTCAGTGGGCGCCATCTTTCGGATGAGACGTTAAACAGAGGTCCTGATGCTCTGTGGTCATTAAAAATCCCATGGCAGTTCTGGTAAAGAGTAGGGGTGTAAACCTGGTGTCCTGGCCAAAGTCCCTCAATCGGCTCTTTTGATCACAGCCCCCCAATCTTCCCCATCCATGTAATTGGCTCTATCACTGTCTCTCCACTCCACCAATAGCTGGTGTGTGGTGAGCGCACTGGTGCCGTTGCCCTGTGGCTGCCGTTGCATCATCCAAGTGGATGTTGCACACTGGTGGTGGTGTGGAGAGACCCCCCTCACGATTGCGAAGCACTTTGGGTGTATGGCCATACACAATAAATGCGTTATATAAATACACGTAACATGACATTAAATAACATTTTTGTAAAAAGTGTCAAATGTTTAGCAAAAAATAGATCTTTTGATTTAAATTAAAGTATTTTTATTTTTTATTGTAAATGGAAAAGATGCATTTACACAAAAACAAACTTAAAAATGCTAAATACGCTAAATAAATTGACACATATTGGATATAGCCAAAT